TGGCGCGCTATATCTAGCGTAATCCTGCCGTAATCCCTTAAAGCCAATAGCCTCGCGTGGCTATACGCAGGGTGATTCTATTTCTAGAAGGGTCTATTTCCTTTGGATAGGATAAACCTGGTTACCTGATGTAATCTGGAAGTATAAAAGCCCCTTGTACTGATTGATAGTGCAACATTGAGCAAACCTTTCCTCGACACATTCGATCCTGTGACATGGACGACCTCTTTCGTCAGCGTTTCGGCCCGTCGCCAGACCTCCCGGACTGGCACAGTTTGCTTAGTCGTCAGATTCAGATCTTTGATATGGACATGGATGCCATTGTTTCTGCTCTGCATGTGATGTATGCTGATGACTCTAGTGTGCTTCCGACTTATTACTCACTGTTGCCTAGTGTAGGTGTGCCTAGCTTAGCCCCCCCTGCTGCGTCAGGCGTAGGATCCCCTGCTTTGTGTAGTCTTGGTGCTTCTGTCGTCGTTCCGTCGCCAGACCCCTCGGCTTCGCTTTCCTTCACCTTGGACTCTGGCGCCTCTCGGTGTTTCTTCCGCGACTCCACCACCCTGACGCCGCTTCCTGTTCCTGCTGCCGTTTCTCTTGCTGACCCCTCCGGCGGCCCGGTAGTCGCCCGCAGTTCCACCACCCTTCCCTGTCCGGCGGTTCCTTCGGGCTCTCTTACAGGTCTGCATATCCCCTCGTTCTCCAGGAACCTAGTTGGTGTCGGCTGCCTCCAGGACCTTGGCGTCACCACTACGTTCCCTGGTCACGAGCGGTATGCTGTCTGTACCGAGGCCGCCACTGGTGCCCCCCTGTCCACGTTCCCCCGGGACCCGGTGTCCGGCCTGTTCACTCTGGACACCGTGCCCCCCCGGCTAGAGCGCCCCCTCAGGTGGCTGTGTCTACCCAGGTTGCTGCTGCCTGCTCCTGTCGCTCCCTCACTCACCCGACCCTCCTGTGGCACCACCGCCTAGGTCACCCTGCGCTCCCGCGTCTGCGTCACATGTCCCAGCACGGTCTTGTCCTTGGTCTCCCAGGTTCACTCCCCGCGTTTCCCTCCTCCCCAGCTCCACCTTGCACGCCTTGTGTCGAGGGTCGGCTTCGCCGTGCCCCTCACTCCTCCTCGTTCCCCCCTACCGTCGCGCCGCTGCAGACCCTGCACGTGGACGTCTGGGGCCCCGCCCCCGTCCCTGGGCCGCGTCGCGAGCGCTACTTCCTTGTGCTTGTCGACGACTTCACTCGTTACACCACAGTCTTTCCCCTGGAGCGCAAGGCCGACGTGCCTGGCGCCCTCATCCCCTGGCTTGTCTCTGCGCGTGTCCACCGCGGTCTCCCTGTCTTGCGTCTTCACTCAGACCGTGGTGGCGAGTTTGCCTCAGGTGTCCTTGGTCGCTTTTGTCGTGCGGAGGGCATCACCCAGACGTTCACCCTACCGGACTCCCCACAGCAGAATGGGGTCGCTGAGCGACGCATCGGCTTGGTCATGGAGGTCGCTCGCACCTCCATGGTCCATGCCGGTGCACCCCATTTTCTGTGGCCGTTCGCTGTGCGCTACGCTTCTCACCAGCTTAACCAGTGGCCGCACCCTCAGCAGCCGCAGGTTTCGCCGACCCGTCTGTGGACTGGGTCTCCTGGTGACGCGTCTGCGTTCCACGTCTGGGGCTGCCTTGCTCACGTCCGTGCCTCCGGCACGGACAAGCTCACTGCCCGCACCCTTCCCTGCGTCTTCCTCGGTTTTCCCCTTGACGCGTCCGACTGGCACTTTTACCACCCGCCGTCTCACCGCTTCTTTCACTCTCGTGACGTCACCTTTGACGAGTCCGTCTCCTACTACCGCCGCTTCCCCCACCGTGGTCCACCGGTTACCCCCCCCCTGTTCCTGGTCACCCCTTCCCCGGTAGTCCCTGCCCCTCCTCCTCCTCCTCCCCGTCCCGCCCCCTCTGGTGTCTCCCATGTCACCCCCCTTCCGTCCGTGGACCCGGTTGAGGAGTCTTCTGACTCTGGTGGCCCTCCGGTGCAGTCCTCGCCGGCCGCCCCTCCCCAGGTGTCCCCTCCCCAGTTCCCTCCTCCGCCGTCCCTGCCGCCACTGCAGCCGTCGCCGTCGCCGCCGCCGCCGCCGCTGCCGCAGTCGCAGGCCCCGTTCGCTGACTCTGGGGGTGCTCGTCCCGGTCGCCCTGAGGGTGGTCCCTCTGGGGGTGCGGGTGTGGAGCGTGCCGGTGGTAGCCGAGGAGCAGCTTGCGGCCCAGGTGTCGCCGTTGTGCCGCCGCAGCAGCAGTCCCCGCCGGTGTCCGCCCTTCGCCTGCTCGGCCTTCCGTCCCCCGACCCTGCGTCGGTTCCTCCCCGACCGTCTCCTCCTCTTCCTGTCTACGGCCCTGTTTTCCCTCCGCCGGACTCGTCCCCGGCCCGTCTCCCCCCTCGTTCACCTCCTGTGTCCCCTCCCCTGTCTCCTGACCCGACTCCTCCATCGCACGTCTGGTCTCACCGTCCCTCCCGTGCTCGTCCTGCCTCGCCTGTCCTGCGCTCCCACCCTATGTTGCTTCGTTCACACGCGTCTCGTCCTCCCCTTCTGCCGTCGCCTCCTCCGTCCTCCCTTGTTGTTGCGCCCCCCCCGCTGTCCGACTACCTTCGTGCCGCTCGTCCCCTCGTTCCTCGGGTCCTTGCCTCTCTCGTTACCGACCCGTCTGTTCCAGTCTCGTGCCTTGACGCTCTTGTCGTTGCTGTCGCTGACTTCGCCTCTACCCGGCGCCTTAACTACGCCACCGCTCTGGTCTCTGACCCTGCCTGTCCTCCGTCTGTCGGGGGTGCTCCTGCCCTTGGCAGTGACGTCCTGGAGGACCGCCAGTTCGAGCTTGCTTTCCTCTTCGAGGCTGCTCCCCATCTCTGTTCCATGCTGCTAGTCCCTGAGGGTGACCCAGACGCTTTCGACATCCCGACCCCTCGCACTTACGCTGAGGCGACTTCGGGACCCTGGGCCTCGTAGTGGATAGCTGCCATGGAGCAGGAGATGGCATCTTGGAGATCCACCGGCACCTTCGTCGACGCAGTTCCCCCACCTGGGGTGAACGTAATCGATGGCCGCTGGCTCTTCAAGGTGAAGCGCCCTCCTGGAGAGCCGCCTGTCTTCAAGGCGCGCTATGTGGCTAGAGGCTTCAGTCAGCGCGAGGGGGTGGACTTCTTCCAGACTTTCGCTCCGACCCCGAAGATCTACTCTTCGGGTTCTGTTACACCTAGCTGCTCAGCGTGACTACGAGCTTCACTCTCTCGACTTCTCCACTGCCTTCCTTCAGGGCAGCCTACACGAGCAGGTCTACCTGCGCCGCCCTCCGGGCTTTACTGGCACCTTCCCTCCTGGGACCCAGTGGCTCCTGCGGCGCCCCGTCTACGGCCTGCGCCAGGCTCCCCGTGAGTGGCACGACACTCTGCGTGCTACGCTTGCTGACCTGCAGTTCTTTCCGTCTTCTGCAGACCCTTCACTCTTCGTTCGTGCTGGCCAGACTCCGTTCTACATCCTCGTCTACGTCGACGACCTGGTCTTTGCCACAGCAGACAGGGACGCGCTGGCCTCCGTGAAGGCAGAGCTGCTGAAGAGACACACCTGCACTGACCTTGGAGAACTGCGCCGTTACCTTGGCTTGCAGATCTCCAGGGACAGAGCTGCGCGCACCATCACCCTGACTCAGTCACACTTGGTGCGCCAGGTCCTTCAGAGGTTCAGCCTTCAGTTCTCCTCTGCACAGCCCACCCCTCTGCCTGTAGACCACAGGCTCTCCGCTCCAGTGCCTGAGGAGTTGGTAGAGCCCAGCGGCCCCTACGCAGAGCTGGTGGGTTGCCTCATGTACCTGATGACTTGCACTCGCCCAGATCTCGCATACCCTCTCAGCATCCTGGCTCGCTTTGTGGCCACAGGCAGACACCGACCGCAGCACTGGTCTGCCGCTAAGAGGGTTCTGCGTTATCTTGCTAGTACATCGGGCATGGGGTTAGTGCTAGGAGGACGCAGGCCAGCGGTCCTTACTGGGCACACAGACGCTTCGTGGGCAGACGACGCTGAGACACTCCGGTCTACCCAGGGCTACTGCTTCAGCCTTGGCTCAGGTGCCGTCTCGTGGAGAGCTACTCGCTCCTCGTCTGTTGCACAGTCCAGCTGTGAGGCTGAGATCTACGCCGGTGCCATGGCGGCACAGGAGCTCCGCTGGCTGACCTTCTTGCTCACTGACTTAGGTGAGCGACCTAGCTCTGCCCCGGTCCTGTTCGCTGACAACAGGGCCATGATCCTCCTGTGTCAGGAGCCTCGACTCGAGGGCAGAGCGAAGCACATTCAGCTGCGGTACTTCCTCCTGCGTGAGCTACAGCAGCGACGTCAGGCTCGCGTAGTACACTTGGCCTCAGGTGCCAACACGGCTGATATCTTTACGAAGGCGCTTGCGCCTAAAGATCATCAGCGGCACTGTGTACAGCTTGGTCTAGTTCCTGTAGCCTCTCACTTGCTAGGACCTTGACTTTGTACTGTCCTTTATATGTATACTCAGACTGGACTTGTGTCCTCTCCCAGTGGCTGGACTAGTAGTGCCACCCTGCTCTTTGCTTGCCTTGTCTGTACTCCTTCTGACTGGTCGCTCAGACCCTTGTCTCAGAGGTTGGACTAGTAGTGCCGCCCTGAGCTGTTTGTTTAGGACTTTCCCCTATGCAGTCTAGGGGGTGTGTCAAACATGTCTATTTGTTATGTTTGTATAGACTGTATAGGGTAGCCTCTTAGAGGGTACAACACTTAGCTATATTGTGTGTACTCTCCCTCTATCACTATCATTCAATTTTTTGATAGCTCCAACTCGATTTTGTGGTCTTGGGGTTGGGGTCGTTCTGGTGGCAGTCCAGTCGGCAAGTCGTCCGAGAAAATCTTGGGATATTCCCGAATGATTTTTGCCAAGTCATCTGGGACCGAACCAAAAGAGTTTGTTGATGTCGATTGCCTCGTTTTGCTCCGTTGATTCGGTTAGACAGAGAGCGTATAAATCCGTTCCATTCTTTACCGAGTGGTACTGATTACAGAAGCTCTCCGGCTCCATTCTCCCTCGGCTGATTACAGAAGCTCTCCTGCTCCTCCCTCCTTTCCCTTGCCAATACCCACAACCACAACTCCCGCCCCCCCATCATATTGTGAAGTGTTGGGCTAACGGCACACAGAGGGGCAGCTCCTAAGCAGTGCTGTTTCCCTAGAGCACCAGCTGCCATGTTGTCTGTAGACTAAGCCGTTGGTTTTGGCCGGCAGCATTGGCTCAGCTGCTGTTCCTAACTAACGGTAGTTGTGTTCAGCCTACGCTGCCACACCCTATGCTACCCTACACTATGCATAGTCGTCGATGAGAAGTTGCGCCTCGTTCCTCAGCGCGTCTCGTGCCAGCTTGTCAGCGTCCACTCCCATCGCCTCGCCTTCCTCGTCCACCTCATCCACCACTTCAAGGAATTTGCTTGATACTAGCAGCCCCGCTGCTGCTGCTGCTGCCGCTGGGGACATTGCCTGAAGGGACTTCACTGGGAAACATAGATTGGAGGGAGGGGAGCCTTGCAGAGAAGCTCCTGCTATCCAGGAGGAAGCGTTTGGCAGAACACCATATCCTCCAGCACAGCCCCCCTCCCCACCACCACCACTGCCACCACCACCACCGCCACTGCCACCACCAGAACTGCCACTACTACCGATACCACCAATGGCAGCACTCGCACTTGCACTCGCGCTCTCTTCTGCACTCTCACTCTCAGCCGCAGCCGCTGCAGCCAGTGCTGCAGCAATGGCCGCCTCCTTGAGCGCCCGGCCGGATGCAGGCGTGTCAGAGCGCGAATACTGGGGCGCGGGGAGACGGAACGGCAGGCACACCCTATCAATGCCGCCCTGTGCCTGCTGCTGCGCTCCCTGCAGCGCACCTGTCGCAACTGCTGCTGTCCCTTGGGCACACAAACCTCCACCGTCAAAGCCACCACTGCCACCAAGGCCACTGGCGCTGCCATTTATCTGCCCCCCCACATGTCCCAGTCGTTGCACCCCTTGCCCCTCCTGCTGCCTCCCCCACTGCCCCATCCACGAGCCCCTTCCCCCCTGCTGCCTCTTCCCCCCTTGCTGCCCAAGCCCGAGACCCAGCCCTTGCCCCTGCCTCTGCCCTGGCACCTCCCGCAACCCCTGCCCCTGCTGCCCCTGCTGCTCCCCCTGCCCGTGCCCCCCCTGCTTCCCGTGCTGCCCCTTGCCTACTTCGACAAGCACAAGCCCCAGCTCGAAGTTGAGTATGTGCAAGCAATCCCCTAGCACTGCTGGCATCCCCAGGTCCTCAGCTGCAGATGGGTCGCACGACAGGTGGCGCTTCCTCATTGGCCGGCCCCACGCAGCTGGGCTGAAGTTGTGGGACCCGGTGTAGACCCACCCTGTGGTGTGAGAGGGGGAGGTGATAGAGGAGGAGGCGGCGGGGATGGCGGTGGTGGTGGGAGGTGGGCAGGGGTTGAACCGACGAATGGCGACCTGACATGTGGAGGGGCACAGGTGCAGGCGTGTGGAAATGGAGGGGAGTTGTTTCACTTGTACGCAGACATTTTATTCTTTAGTACTAGCAGGCCGCTCGGCAGGCGCATAATGGGTGTGGTGTGGTGCAAGTCGCAAATGTCCCTGAATGTCGCAAAAGTCGCAAACAGGAGTGCCAGGGTAAGAGCTGCGGTAGTAACTGGTGCAGGCTGCATCAGGTGAAAAGGAGAGTCGAGGTTACACGCTGGGAGGAGGCAGGAATGACATGCTGGCATGATGGCATGATGCGATGTTGGCAGGATGGCATGGAGGCATGCTGCATGCAGGGTGTGGAACACAAGGCAGTCACACACTCTCCCTGCGCACCCCCTCCCTGCGCATCCCCTCCCTGCGCACCCTCTCGCTGCGCACCCTCTCCCTGCGCACCCTCTCCCTGCGCACCCCCTCCCTGCGCATCCCCTCCCTGCCCACCCTCTCACTGCGCACCCTCTCCCTGCGCACCCTCTCCCTGCGCACCCCTCCCTGCGCACCCCCTCCCTGCGCACCCTCTCCCTGCGCACCCTCTCCCTGCGCACCCCCTCCCTGCGCACCCTCTCCCTGCGCACCCCCTCCCTGCGCACCCTCTCCCTGCGCACCCTCTCCCCCGCACCCTCTCCCTGCGCACCCTCTCCCTGTGCACCCTCTCCCTGCGCACCCTCTCCCTGCGCACCCTCGCGCTGCGCACCCTCTCCCTGCGCACCCACTCCCTGCGCACCCTCTCCCTGCGCACCCTCTCCCTGCGCACCCTCTCCCTGTGCACCCCCTCCCTGTGCACCCCCTCCCTGTGCACCCCCTCCCTGCGCACCCCCTCCCTGCGCGCACCTTGCAGTGCATGGGAACGCCGGCTCTGTGTGCGGCTGTGAGCGGCGGCACACAGTCATGCAGGGACGCTGCTTCCACCAGCCGGTCCGAGGCTTTCTGCAAGTAGGGAGAGACGGTGAGCGAGCATGCGAGGACACGTGGTAAGGGGCCGAGGGCGTGCTGAGTAGGGCAGGGAGTGCAGGGAGGAAACGGTGCAGGGGGGAGAAGCGAACGTGCAACACAGCACCTCTATGGTAACACAAACGCACACAACCCGCCACACCACCCACCACCCACCACCCACCACACACCAGACACCACCCACCGCCCACCGCCCACCGCCCACTGCCCACCGCCCACTGCCCGCCCCCAACAACACCGCACGAGGCAGCACTCACATCGGAGAAGCAGAGCACGCCCAGGCTCCCCTGCGGGCCCTCCCTTGCAGCAAGGGCAGTGGCTAGGGTGGGATACACTATGCCCAGAGATGGGGATGCCGCCTCGCGCTGTGCGTCCCACCCGTTCCACTGAAGAGTGGAAGGAGCGAGTGAAGAGGAGGGGAGAGGGGAAGGGAGGAAGGTGTTGGAGTTGGACAAGGGACGAGAAGAGCGGAGAGCGGGTGACAATAGGTGTGGGGGGTAGGAGAGAGATGAGGGGGGATGAAAGGGCCACCTCTGGCAGAAATGCGGGGCAAGTGTACTGCCATGGCTGGTTGTTTGTATGGCCCTCTCTTGCAGCGAGGGCAGTGGCCAGGGTGGGGTACACTTTGCCCAGAGAGATGGCGATGCTGCCTCGCGCTGTGCGTCCAAAGTGATGAGTGCACAACCATTCCACTGGATGTTGAGGAATGCGGAATGAACAGGATGAGAGGGGGCGGAAGAAGGGACGAGAACAGGGGTTGATAGAAGGTGGAGGGGGTGGGGAGAGAGGGATGAGGAGGATGAAAGGGCCACCTCTGGCGGATACGCCGGGCGGGTGTGCTCCCATCGCTGGTGGTATGGTGCCCCTCCCTTGCAGAGAGGGCAGTGGCCAGCGTGGGATACATTTAAATAAATTTTATAACACACCCGCAGGGACGGTGATGCTGCATCGCGCTGTGCATCCCACCCGTTGCATTCATGGGCGAGGGGGCGGGTGAGGTAGCGGAGTGGAGAGGGGAGGGCAGGGGCAGAGAGAAGGGGGCGGATGGAGAGAGAGGAAGAGAAGGAAGGGGAGGAAGGGGCGGGAGGCGAGGAGAGCACAGGAGTGGAGAGGGTGAGAGTAGGGCGGGCAGTCAAGTCAACAGCGCCTCAATAGAAACACGCTCCCTTGAGGATGTTCTCGTCCACCCACTCTACCGCTCATTCGAACGGACGTTCTCGTCCACCTGCTGTGGATGAGGGCATCCACTCCTAAACCTCCTCTCCACGCCCGTTTAATCCAGAGCCCCCAAAGCCAACCCCAGGGTCAGGCCCCTCCTCGACGCTGCTGTCCGAATCCTCCTCACTCTCCGTCCACCCCACGCGCATTTGCCTGCCAGCTGCTGGTGGTGCCCCACCTCCATACCCTCCCTCAACCCTCAACCCTCAAACCTCAACCCTAGGCCATAAACCTTAAACCCCCTATTCCCCCACGATGCAACCCAGGGTCTGACTCCACGCTGCTGTCAGATTGCTCACCCTCCATCCATCCTGTCCCCATTCGCTTGCCCATGCCCACCCGCCTGCCCGCTGCTGCCACTACTCCACCTCCCTATCCTCCAACCCGCTGCCCGCACCCCTGGTACTCACCCCAGGGTCTGACTCCACACTGCTGACTGAGTCCTCCTCGCTCTCCGTCCACCCTGTCCCCATTCGCCTGCCTGCCGCTGCTGCAAAGGCCGCCACAAACTTGACGTCCACTGACCCGCCCACTGAGGACGAGGCTGGGGGGGGGTGTAGGGGAGGGGAGGGGAAGAGTGGGGTTGAGAGGAAGCAATGATACGTGGAGAGAAGAGTGAGGAGAAAGAGAGGGAGGAGTGTAGAGGAGCAGCATCATATGCATGGTAGATGTAAGCAAGGAGCTCGAGCACACATAGAGTTGAAAGGCAGGAGAAACAAGAGGAATGCGCATGAGGCTGAGCTTGCGTCTGGAGCGGCATGTGGTTACCCTGTAACAAACAAGCCAGCAGGGAAGCAAGTGGTACTGTGTATCCAGCTAGTAGATGTAACATGTGGTTACCATAGAGAAAGTCTGAGTGGGGGGTGCTGGGCCACTTGATGTGTGAGAGCACCTGAGGGTTGAGCCAAGGACAGCGGGTGGGAGAGAAGGGGAGAAGCGAAAAAGAAAGGGAGAGACGGATATAGATAGAATACACACAAGACAACCTCAAACCGCTACCACATTCGAGAAAGCAAACAAAATCGTTACCAGCCTATCTCCAACGGAATCCCTCATCCCTTGCTGCCATTAACCCCACAGCCCACCACAGCCCATCCCACCCCCCTCACCTCCTGCAGCCGCCACAGCCCCCGAGGTCTCTCCAGAGCCCGAAGCAGCCGAACCACAGCACACTGCAAGTCATCATCCGTGCTGCTTAGCTCCGCTCCACCACGCTCTTCCCTGCTCCCCTGCACGCCCGATTCCGCTGCGTCTCCTCCGTCCCTCTCCTCCTCCTTTCCCGCCTCCCTTTGCCTTCCCCCGCCACTGCTGCGTGCTGTCAGAGGGCTGGAGTGCGCGCACGGGAAAGCGGCGCCCTGTGGGGAGAGCAGGGAAATGGGGGCCGTGGCAGGATAGAGGGGGGAAGAATAGGGAACACAGGGGGGAGTATAAGGGCAGGGGTGGGTGGGAGAGAGGGAGGGGGACGGAGGAGAGAGAAAGGGGCCTGAGCGAGTGGGGAGGATTGGGTGCCCGAAAGAGGGAAGCAAGAAGAGAGGCCAATCTCTAGAGCCATAGCTGGGCTCATAACAGGGATGCTGCCATGAACAGCCAGGATAGCAGCTCTTATGCCATTCGTTATACTGTTACGATCCAGTTTAACAGCCAGGAGCTGCAGCCTAGTTTCCACTTGCTGCTGTTACGGTGTGCGCCTCTCTGTCCCACGAAGATGCCTGATGCAGCTGCATGCATGCATACATACATACATACATACATGCATACATGCATAAATGCATACATGCATACATGCATACATGCATACATGCATACATGCATACATGCATACATGCATACATGCATACATGCATACATGCATACATGCATACATGCATACATGCATACATGCATACATGCATACATGCATACATGCATACATGCATACCTGCATGCCTGCATACCTGCGTACGTGCATACGTGCATACGTGCATACGTCCATACGTACGTACATACATACATACATACATACACCACAGTCCATGCATCAACCACCAGCCCATGCGCAACACCAAATGACCTACTCCCAGCCAACCCATGCGCCCCGATCCAGCAACAAGCAGCACAGTGCCTACATGCATGCATCATACCAATTTCAACCACCACCTATCGATCCCAACTGCCACACTAAATGAGTTGTGTGGGCACGAGCTAGTCCATGCAGCCCAATGCCATCCTTATGCCCCTCCAAAGCCCTGAACCCTGAACCACCTCCTATCCCCAGGCAGCAGCGTGCAGCACACTGCACGCATGCATCTGATCAAAATATCACATCAACCCCCATCCATCCCTACCTGCCACACAAACAAGCAGCACAGTGCTTACATGCATGCATGCATACATCACACCAAGTTCAGCCACCACACACACACCCATCCATCCCCACCTGCCACACTATGAGTCGTATGGGTACAAGCCCGTCCAAGCAACCCAAAGCAGCAGCGTGCAACACAGTGCGTGCATGCATCATATCGCACTAACACATCGAACCCCATCTATCCCCACCACCTGCCACACTATGAGCCAAATATGCATGAGCCAGTCCATGCGGCCCGAAGCAGCAACAACAAACAGCACAGCGTAGGAATGTGTTGTGTCCCATCAAGTTCATCACACATACCCATCAAACCGTCTTCCGGTTCTTTTTATTCCCACCTGCCACACAATCAGTCGGATGGGCACGAGCCAGTCCATGCGCCCTGAAGCAGCAGCCTGCACGTCCTCTGCTGCCACTCGTCCCTCCACCTCACACACACGCGCGTCCACCACAGGTGCCACCCACCGCGCCACCGCACGCGGCAAATACCCCAACTCCACCAACTCATCTTCCTTCTCCCCCTCTCCCTCCTCCTGCTGTTCCGCCTCCCGCTCCTGCGCTTTAATTTCCTTTTCCCCTCCCTCCCCACCCTCCACTCCTCCCTTCATCCTCATCCCCTGCCCGTCTCCTTTCAACCCCGCCTTCCCTTCCCGTTTCCCCTTCCTCTCTTCCCCACCTCGCATCCCCCCTCCACCTCCCCTTCCTCCTTCCCCCCCTCTCCCCTGCCCCACCAGCATCACGGCTACAGCATTCCCATCAACAGCCAGCCCCAGGGCTCGTTTCAGCACCACCTGCCTCTCCCCCCGTGCGCGCCCTGCCCTGCTCCCCTTCCCCCATAGAGCTGCCATGAGATGAGCGAGTCGAGTGCCATGGGGATCCCCTCGAGGTCCGAACCTAGGCTTGATTCCCACTACTTGGGTGTGCACGCATCCTAGGAGCACCCCTTGAGTATTCCTTTCTGCTGCTGCTGCTGCTGCTGCTGGTGCTGCTGGTGATGTTGCATAGGCTTTCCTTCTCCCACCCCCTAACTCCTTCCCCCCAGCCGCACTCCCCGAGGTTCGGCACATGTCCGGCAGGGCAACGGGCCTGCGGTGCACGCCCGGCACCGAGGCTACAAGCATGGCGGAGGCTCGGGAGAAGTCAAAGGAAGCGAGAGAAAGCACCCAGTGGGCTTCTGAGGGATTGTGGGCCACCAGTGATGCAACGAAGGAGGCGAGCTCTGAGGCAAAGTCAGCGAGGAGGGCAGGAGGAGAGGAGGAGGAGGGGGTGGAGGAGGCGGACGTGGGCGAGGGTTGGGGGGAGAGAGGGGAGAAGAGAGAGGAGTAGAGAGGAGAGGGCCGGCAGGGAAAGTCTTGCCACCATACGGTGTTGGATATGCGATGCCACTGGTGCGAAGGGGGAAGTGGAGGGGAGAGAACGAGACAAGGGAGGAGGAATGGAGAAATTGGAATGCAGGGACAGTCCTGCCACCACACGGTGTTGGATATGTGATGCCACCGGTGAATGAGGAAGGGGGGAGAGGAGGGAAGGGAGCGAGATGGGCGAGGGGAAGCAATGAGCTGGAAGAGGGGCGGGACAGGGCGGGGCCCAGCTGCAGTTGTGTGAACAAAGTGGGTGTTTTGAGATACGGTGTGTGGGGCTGTTGTGTGCTAATGCTAGAGTTGTGGGGCATCAGGGAACGAGGGGACGAGGGGACGAGGGGACGAGGGGACGAGGGAGTGAGTGAGAGGAAAGATTTGGGCGCTAGGACACATACACCGTGACTGAATAGGCCCCAGGGGTGGGACCCATGACCGGGACCCATGACAGGGACCCATGACTGGGACCACACACATCGCTACTTAGTGGGTCACACGCACACACCTGTCGCTCATTGAGGTTGGCTGAGCTGACCACCACTCTGAGAGTATCCCTGCGGAACAGCAGGAAGAGCTTGGGGTGGTGGCACCCTATGCCTGCCGCCTTCTTCTCCCGCCCAAACCGACATGCGTCAGGGAACAGCGGGTACCTGATTGGAAGAACGCGTGGAGGAAGGGGAGCATAGAAGATTGCGGCAGTGAGAGGTGGCTTTTTGAAAACTGCTTGCTCTCCTTGCTCCGCCGCCGCCGCCGCTGCTGCCGCCGCTGCTGCTGCTGCTGCTGCTGCTGCTGCTGCTCCTGCTGCCGCTGCACTGCTAAATGTAGAAGGTGTCAACCTTAGTACTGACGAATCCCGCACTTCAACTCGGACCTGAGTACGGACCCATTGGGCTCATTAGAGCAGCAAGCATCGAAGCGACCCATCATGCAGCTCCTACCTACGCCCACATTCCATTCACCCCCACAAGACTGACATGCACATGCAGACTAGCGCGCAGCACTGACAGGGGCTTGAGATAGGGGTAGCAGGCGGGCTGGCGGGTGCGCAGGGCCCAGCACGCATCCCCTACCTACGCCCACATTCCATTCACCCCCGCGAAACTGACAGGCAGCCCAGCGCGCAGCACTGACAGGAGCTTGAGGTTGGGGTAGGAGACGGGCTGAGGGGAGAGCAGGCGCGCGGTGGGGTTGGAGTCCCAGCACTGGTGCTTGTCGTGGACCGCTATGGTCATGGGGAGAGACGTAGGGGGGGAGAGATACGCCAGGAACCTGCCATGGCATTGAGCACGGGTGGGCCGAAGGACGGACGGACGGACGGAAGACGGAAGGATGGGTTTCCATGGGCAAGGCGTTTCGATCACGCCCATGTTGGCACTCTGTGATGGCAGGCATGAGAGCAGACGGTGAGAGAGACCGAGGGAGAGGGGACGAGACGGCACGAGAAGGGGAAAGGGGCCACGGGAGGAGGGGAAGATAGGGATGGAACGGCGATGGGAAAACGGAGGAGAAAATGGAGGGACTGCCCTCAGGGAGGGACTTTTGAGCCGCCTGAAAGATCGGCTCGGGGGAGAATGGGAAGGAGAAGGGTGCGACGCACCTGTCGAGGTGGAAAGTGATGGTAGCAGCAAAGAGAGACTGCAGTGTTTCCATGGGGAAGGCGTTTTGAGACGCCTCAAAACTTGGATGGAGGGGAGACGAGAGGGTCTGCCCTCACGGGAGGATGGGAGGGAGTGGGTAAGGCCTACCAGTCGACGTCGAGAGTGAAAGCAGCAGCGAGAACGGACTGTAGCGTTTCCATGGGGAAGGCGTTTTGAAATGTCTCAAGAGTCAAACGCAGGAGAGAATGGAGGGACTGCCCTCACAGGAGCATGGGAAGGAGCGGGTATGGCCTACCAGTCGAGGTCGAGAGTGAAGGTAGCAGCGAAGACGGACTGCAGCGATTCCATGGGGAAGAACAGATCGTGCAGTGACACCTCCTGTGGATCCTGCTGCTGCGGTTTCAGCTGCTGCTCCTGCTGCTGGTGTGCCTCCCTCCCCATCCCCTCACACGCTGCCGGTGTTGCACTTGCATCTCCACGCCCCCTCCCCCTTCCTCCAATCCCGCCTCCTCCTTCTCTCCCCCCTTCTCCACACCCCCTTGGATCAAGACACACGTCTGTCTTCATATTCTTTCTCCCGGCATCCTCCCATGCGCCATGGAAGCGCAGGCGGTTCAAAGCGAACCCATGTGTGTGACCCGGTCCCACGCCACTAAGTAGCCGTCCCATTGGCCTGCCTCCTGGCTCCTCCACTGGCCCGCCTGGTGCTGCTGCACCGCCACACTCCCTGCCTCCTCCCACCTCGTTTCCTCCTGCCTCGTTCCCTCCAGCCCGTGTCTCCCTAGTACCAAATGCGTCCGCGCCATCACTACTGTGACGGATAGACGAAGGGGTTTGGGGGTTAATCTGAGGGTTTCCACTGGCTGCCACAGCTGCACCCGCTGCACCTACTGCTGCTCCTCTGCCTCCTCCTCCTACAATCTCTTGCTCTGCATGTAGTTCTGCCGCTGCATGTGTCTTTGACCCTGCTACGAATTCTGCTCGTGTTGTCAATGTCAAGCCTGCACATGCCGCTACGCCAGTCGGAGGTTCAAGAGCTTCAGCGGTATCCGAGCCTGGCCCTCTCTTCTGCCCGTCGCATGAGACCATTACCGCGCCCACTCCCTGCACCTCCACTGCTGCTGCTGCTGCTGCGGCTGCGGCTGCGGCTGCGGCTGCGGCTGTTGCTGCTGCTGCAGCGGCGGCGGCTGCTGCTGCTGCTACAGCTCCCGCCTCTCCCTCGTTTCGTGCTGGATGGGACGCCGCAACCGAGTCCCCTCTCACTACACAACCCCCCCCTGCAGCGCTATTTCCTGCTGCAGTGCTACCTCCTGCTGTAGCACTATCTCCTCCTGTGGCATTATCTCCTCCTGTGGCACTATCCCCTGCTGTAGCACTATCCTCTACTGTAGCACAATCCCCTGCTGTAGCACTATCCTCTGCTGTAGCACAATCGCCTGCTGTAGCACGATCTCCTGCTGTAATGCATACTTGTGCTCTGCCTGCCCCCTCTGTCGCAACTTGTCTTTTCCCTGCTTCTTTCTCCCCCTCCTTCCATGCTTCTCCAGGTACCTCCTTCGTCCCTCCCACACTACTGCATGATAATTGCGCCCCTGCTACTGCTCCTGCCACCTCTGCCACAGCACCGGCTACCGGCACTGGTTCAGCCACAGCCATGACAGCAAGGTTGGAGCTCCAATGCTTCTGAGCATCGGATGCTTTACAGTCCGCCCACTCCATTTGCGCAACTGGACCCGGCACGATCTTCCGACTCTTGTCCCCGCCGCTGTTCTTCTCCCCACTACCACCTCCCTCACTTCCTCCCACCAGCATCCTTGTGCGGTTCCGACTGTGGCATTCCCTCTCCTCCAATTCACCACCACAACCACCCTCCTCCTCACCCGCCTCCCTTGCCCTCTCTTGGCTCCCAATCAAGTATGAGTATCTCATCTCGCCCCTGTGCAACCGCACCTCTGACGCCGACCGTCCCGTGTCCCATAACAACCCCAGGGAGCCTTTTGTGCTGGGCTGGTTCTCCAGCTCGCTCCCGTGCACTCGTATGGGTGCGGGCTGGAACACGGGCAGCATCTCTTCTTCAGGGGTCTCACTGCCGCTCTGCTCGTGCTTCGCCCTTTCATCCTCGTGCCTCTCCCCTTCATCCTCGTGCCTCGCCTTTCCGTCTTCCTGCCACATACTTTCTCCGCGTGCCGCTGCCTTGTGAGTCGTCTCAGAAGCCGTACGGACCCTGCCATTCAGCTGCGTATCCTCCCCTCTCGAATCTCCCGCCTCTTTCGCCTCTCTTGCCTCTCCTGCCTGTCGCTCTGTTTCCTTCGCTTCATCCTGGATCGCCTCACCTACACCATCGCGTGCCATAGAGTATCCGTCACCTGAGCGCTCTGTGCGCTTGCTCGGTACTGTCACGCTACCTACTGTCACCGCTCGATCTTTCTGGCGAGACTCGGGCTGGCTTCTGGATCGTTGTAGCTTCGCGGAAAGAGAACTCTCTCGGCCGCGTGAAAATACCAAAGGGTGCCGCGGGATGCCAGGAAAAGCCGCTTTGTCGGGGCCCTCATCCCCGCTTATCCCATCCCTGATATTGCCAGCCTTTTCTACAATCACAATTCGGAAGCCCAGCGGATGACCAAAGCCGGCGTCCGCGAGACGCCCATTCAATACAGGAACAACGAACGACACCTCGCTACCGCTCGTTAAAGCCACAGGACGGCTCGCATCCACGAGCCTACCGTTGACGTACGTTCCGTTAGTCGAGCGCGCTACTATCGAGGACGGCCCGAGTGGCTGTAACGAAGCGCCGTTCAGACACAACTGCGCTCCCGGAAACGCGAAAAATCCGGGGCAAGCCCCTACGCTCCGACTCCAACTAAGAGAGTTAGTAATAACAGGGGGGCGTGGCGCGACGGCGGATTCTTGAGAAGCCGCAAAAGCCGCAGCAACAGGCTCGGAAGGTATCGGAAAGCCACTGTTCCTAGATGGATCGGTGAGAGATGCGGGTAAGCGAGGGGGAGGGCGGAACCGTGGGTGCGGGATTGGCGTTTGGGGCTTCACGGAGCGCGAGAAGCCCGCCAGTCGCCGCCGCTTGAGCGGCAGGTGCGCGCACTCATCCGGATCGGGACGACCTACCTCCCCGCCCTGCTTTTTCCCTGTCGCCGCCGCTGACTGGGCCTCGGGAAACGACCGAAACTGGCGGCTGCCGCGACTGGAGCAAGCGATTGAATCGTTCGCATTCTGACGCGACTCGGGGGAGTGCGTTGACACGTCACTTGCCACGGTGTGGGGTTCTGAGTCAGGGAATTGCGGGAGATTCGGATTCGTATCATCGTACTCATGAGACACGGGGTCGCAGTCTAAATCGGCGTCCGGCTGCGTCTGCACTCCTAGAGAGTCCGGCTGGCTCTGAGCATACACCGTTCCTGATTGGCTGGCTTCCACGGCCCCTAATTGGCTGGCTATCGCTGCATCTGATTGGCTGGTTCCGTCCACGAGGAACAGTCCGCCAGTCTGCGCGCACCAGAAGAAGCCACACTGAATGCGGCTGACGCGGGAGTCTAGAAAGATGACGTCACATTGCGATCGCGACCGCCCCACGCGGAGGAGGGCGTTCGGGCGGAGTGGAACGGTGGTGACTTTAGCGAGGCCGCTGTCGCGAGAGGCGGTGGGCACGAAGCACGGCGAGAGGGCGCGGAGGAGAATGTCAGATCGGCCATTTGTCATGGCTGAGCATGCACAATCGCCCCTCCCTCGGCTTGGGTTCTGCAGTCTGGAATTGTACGGACGGAGTTAGTAGTGTGAAGAGGGCAGGTAAAGCGGAAACTCCAGGTGTAGGAGTATCTAGGCAGAAGCCTGACCTGGTCTCCAGTCCAGAGACCACCATGCAGGTTGGCCCGCATGGTGGTCTCTGGAGGCGGAGGTGAAGGTGAAACAGATCGCGTTCTGGAAGAGAAGACGCCAGAAGGCGACGTCAGGATGAATTACCTCGCGTTTGAACGGTGCACACCCGTGGAAATAAGAATTCGAGGGTTTTCCTTACAAATGTTCCGTAATCTCATAACCCTTTCATAATAAAACATGACATTTCTCCCGGCTGAGAAGGAGGTTTGCAGCTGCAACGAACTGGAAGTTACTGGAACGAAATGGGACTTGTCAAACTTGGAATCCAAAAATATACCGAGGATTTTCGTACCGGCATCCAGATTTTCCTAGAACCCTCACCGAGTGTAATCTAACGCATCAGGTTCCCTAACAACGGAAAACAGCTTTCCCAGATGATGTCCTGAACTCGTAGCTTCTTTTCCAGAACGCGAATTCACAGTGCTGGAATGGAGACATCCATGATTGAGACAGATTCACGGTTGGATGAACAGCTAGTTTGATCGCACGGTCGATTTTGACTGTCCTTGGGAGCTCGGTTTGAATGCTCGAATTTCAGCAGCCAAAGTTTAGGCGGGAAAATATGTCCAAGACGGTGTGTTCAATACGCCACCCAAGCCAGACAGTTCACCAGTAACGAGGTACACACGATGTCCGCAAAGTGCTTTGCCCAAAACAAATCCCAATTGCCCCCCCTCGCCCAATAGCAGAATTTTACGGGCAGTATCCGTTTAGAAAGAGTCCCCCGCGCCGGCTACTGTGCTGAGTCATCATGACAGTGGCGATGAACATGCGGACAGCGACGAAGCAGTTGCAGCCTTCTGGTTTTCGCCACATATTTTCAGACTGTGTCGCGAGGGCAGTTCGTCCAGGCCCAAATGGCCTTTCGCGTTTTTCGCGAAGCCGCGAAGGACACGAGGGCAATGGAAATCAACGGAACGGGAAATGCCTAGATGACTCAGCATGGCATGACCCCTAGGCAACTGACTGAACTAGAGCCCTATTCGGTCGAAACAACAGCACACTTATCGAAGCCGTACAAATTGTGAGCGAATGTCATGTTCGTGAGCTGTTGGTTGACCCAATGAAACAGCACTTGGGGTTGAGTCTGTTCGTCACAGCGTAACCGTGGTTATATATGCAATCTGAACTCTGCCACCCAAACCTTCCCCTATTGCGACAAAAAAGTTACCAACGTGCTCACCCTGAATCCCTCGCTTCTAGCAGCGAAAGCGGGCGAAATACCAATTCGACATAAGCCCCCGCGGCTCGAAAAAGTGGCGTTCCTCTCTCGGACTTAGGCTGTATATCGATTTAAGCAGAACATGGAAACTTTTGACGTCATCACGTGTTATAGTTAATAAGGCATACAGTGTGTTAAGATAAGGAATTACTTACATTATTATGAATTAATCCGAGTAATAACAGGTAGTGTAATAAAGGAGTCGTGATTCAAGAGTGTCGATACAAATGAGAGCCTAGGCATTTATAGGCACGAACAGAGCTAGCCGAGAACCACGCGAGCAGGTTGGGGCGATGCGGTTGGCGAAAGCCACGGAAGCGCTGCGCGTTGAGGTTTAGGTTCGCTAAGTGGTTCGGGACCGAAGAAGTTGGCCGAGCCTGGAATTCCGAGAGTCGAGCGCGTACGCGCTGTAGTCGAGCCCAGTAAGGAAAAGGGAATTTCCTTACACCACCCCCTCTTCAGGAATGAGACTACCCACATTCAGGACATGTCGTTGGTGTAAATAGTCCCGGACGACTTTGTGTTCGCCGAGCATAGCTGCGGGGACCCAAAGATCGTCGTCAGTTGTGCGATCGACCCATCGTACAAGGAAATCAACTGCTGACGTGTCTCGATTGCCTCGTACGCGATGAGCGAGAATCTTCGATGGCTCGATCGTCGGCTCAGGTACTGGATTGACCGTAGAATTGATGTGTTGACGGTCGAGATCACTCGTACTCAGGACTAACGGTAGCAGGAGGCTGACGTGAAATTAATAATGAATTCGCCAGTCGACCAGTAGTTGCAGCTGGGCGGCGGTGACTGGTGTCAGCATGCGGATGATGCGGAATGGGCCGCAAAATCTTGGTCGTAGTTTATGTGGGAGGGGAATTCCCAAATTCCTGGTGTTGAGCAGGACCAATTGCCCAGGGGCGAGTGCTAAATCACGGGGTCGTCGGTCAGCTTGCTACTTAGCCTGTTGGTTGGCTTTGAGGATGGCATCGGCGGCTTTTTGCTAAGACTGTCGGAGATTTTCGACGAACTGCTGCGACCTCGGTGCCGGATTTTCTATCAGTGGTGATAGAGGGGTCGTCGAGTCTATCTCGTAATTAAGGAAGAACGGGAACTGAGTAGTCGTGGCTGATGGGGCGTTGTTGTACGCAAAATCGATCAAGGGAAGGGAGTCTTCCCATTGGGCCGAGTCTGTGCACGTCGTGCAAATCATTTGCTCTATCGTCTGATTGGTGCGCTCAGTCTGGCCGTCCGATTGCGGGTGGTACGCCGTGGACAGATCCAGACGTGTGCCGTACTGCGGCTGCTGCAGGAGAGAGAAAACTACTTCCAAATCCTTCAAATGCTCTTCCCGGGTAGTGCTGTATATCAGGATGTTGTCGAGGTACACGATGACGCATTTATCCAGCAGCGGCCGAAAAACTTCGTTCATTGTCAACTGGAACGTTGAAGGCGCGTTTGTTAAGCCAAAAGGCATAACCGTGTACTCATAACTGCCGTATCGGGTTCGAAACGCCGTCTTGTAGCAGTCAGCTCCGTTCACGCGGATCTGGTAGTAACCGCCTCGCAGGTCAATTTTCGAAAAGAACTTGGCTCCACGAAGTTGGTCGATGAGTTCGTCGGCATGCGGGATAGGGTGACGGGACTTGATGGTAACCCGATTCAAGGCGCGGTAGTCAATACACATTCGTAGACCGCCATCTTTCTTTGGGGTGAACAGGATCGGGGCTGCGAACGGGGAAGTGCTGGGGCGAACGAAACCTTTCTCGAGCAGGTAATCCAGCTGGCGTCGAAGTTCATCGAGCTCTGGCTGAGTCAGCCTCTATTGAGTTCGAACAGTCGATTGCGCGCCGGGCTCCAACTCGATTTTGTGGTCGTGGTCTCGCTCAGGTGGCAAACCGGCCGGTAGGTCGTCTGGAAAAATGTCGGCGTATTTGCGAATCACGTTCGCCAAATCGTTCGGGACAGCTGCGCAGAGTTTGTCGATGTCGGCTGGCGTGTCGACAGCCGTTGATGCAATCCATCGGATGGCGTACAGCTGCGCCCTGCGAATCATAGCTCGCTTGATTGTAACCGCGTTGACCGTCGATGTCGTCGAATCCTGTTAGCTCCACTTCGGAAGTCGTCGCCACTCGCCACTCCATTTTATGTGACAGTCACCCGTCCGCCAGTCGATGCTCGGGTTGTATTCGCGCAACCAATCGCGTCCCAGCAGCATGTCGCAGCCGTCCAAAGTTGTCGCCAGCATCTTCGTCGTAAAGCTGAAATTTTCGCCGCATGTTACTCGCACGTGAGGTACTCGCTCCCGAATTGCCAGTGGTGTGTCGTCGACCAATCTCGTGTCGATTTCAGGCATGCAGCGCTCCAGTTGTAATCGCGATTTTTTCGCCTTCGTCACATCCATCAAACTGTGGCTCGCCCCGCCATCAACGAATATTTTGATGCAGGTGTCGCCAACTCTCCCTTCAACCAGCACAGGGCAATCAACCGGTTCACCCCCCTTATTCAGCCAGGAATGGTCAATAGCCCAAATCGGCACTATAACCTGGTGGGGGTGTTGGCGTTTGGGCGACGCCGTCAAGTCAGTAGGTGGCCTATCTGCTACTGACGATCTCCATTTCCCAACTGCTTCTTGTCGTTAGGTAAGTTCTTTTTCAGCTGCGGGCAGTGCCTCACTATGTGACCCAGCTGGTTGCAGTGAAAGCAGGTCCCCGAAAATACTCGGGCTGCAAACACGTCCACGGCGTTGATTGATGTGTGTTGGGGCTGGCCTCGAAAGCGATTTCCCTCCCGGAAACCTGCTCTCACGAGTCCACGTCGTGCGTCCAGCGCGTCTGCCATGAGAACGATTTTGTTGAAGGTCGTCGCAACCCGCAGGATGATCTCTTGATGAATCTCCAGCTTGAGACCACCCACGTAGCGATCGATTTTCTCATCCTCGCTGATCCCCCCGATTTGGTCGCAGATTGGCAGAAATTCACCCTCCGATCCGGCCCCTAGCGTGCCCGCCAGCCCCTACCGTGCTCGCTGACCCCTAGTGCACCTCGCCGACCCCTTAGCGTGCCCGCCGACCCCTACCCGCCGTGCGGGCCCCTTTGCGCCCCGCCGTCCCCTCGCGCCCAGCCGGCCCCTAGCGCGGCGTGACGGCCCCTCGCGCCTAACCGGCCCCTCGCGACTAGCCAGCCCCTCTCGCCTAGCCGGCCCCTCGCGCCTAGCTGGCCTTTCTCGCCTAGCCGGCCCCTCTCACCTAGCTGGCCCCTCGCGCACCGCCGGCCCCGCGCGCGCCGTGACGGCCCCTCGCGCCGTGTCGGCCTCACGCACCTAGTCGGCCCCTCGCGCCTAGAAGGCCCCTCGCACCTAGCCGGCCCCTCTCGCCTAGCCGACCCCTCTCACCTAGCCGGCCCCTCTGACCTAGCCGGCCTCTCGTGCACCGCCGGCCCCGCGCGCGCCGTGATGGCCCCTTGCGCCGTGCCGGCCCCTCGTGCTAGCCGGCCTCTCTCATGCTCCGTCAGCCCTCGCGCCTAGCCAGCCCCTCCCATGCTCGCCAGCCCCTCTATACGCTCCGGCCCCTCTCGCACCTGCCCGGCCTATCGCGCACCTCGCCGACCCCTCATGCGCCTCGGCCCCTCACGCGCTTGCTGGCTCCTCGAGCGCCCACTAACCCTCCCGCGCCCGCCGGCCCTTTGCGCCCTGCCGGCTCTGCGCGCCTCGGGCCCTGCG